CACACACACACTCACACACATTCTAGTCTACCATAGACAACCAAAAAGGTCAGGAGCTTTGAAGGTGAAGTGCAGTCGCCATAGTAACTAATGTTGACTCCCCTGTCTCCTAGCAACGGGATGTAGAGTGATGTCAATGGAAAGCATGCTATTTTCTCCTGCTGACAGAATGATGTCACTCCTTTGTGTGTGTGTGTGAAGGGATAAGTTTATTTCTATATTCTATATCTGCTCTCCAGAGAGGATGGGGGGGGGGGTTATGCTGACATCCTGTGGAATCAAAGACAGACAAAAGGCGAGGATAAACTAAAATAGCTGTCCAGGGACAATGAATCATGGGCCAATTAAGGGTGCAATTATGCTCCTGGTTCCTTTTTTGGTCTGTCCTGCCTCCCTTTTCAAATTTGCTCTGATAGGTCTGACAGTGAGTGGAAAGGAGATGGATGATGCCGAAGACATCGTCCTATATGAGACACATGAGAGCATCTCTTCACTAGTGCGTCTTTCTTACTGTTACTAGATCTGGCCCTGAAAGATTGCCTCACTTCTTAGTAACAGAGCAGATGCATACGATCCCTTAAACTCTCATGAGGGCTTGAGGTTAAAGTCTTTAGGGAATCTCAATATCCCAAGTCCTGCCCGAGAGCCCTGCGGAAGTGAGAGGTAATGGAAAATAGCTCTCCCACACGTAAAGACTATGTCAGATTTAGATTTGTGCCATGTCTATCCAATTGCATGTAGACTAATAGGATCAACAAGGCAATGTAATTATCCTTATCTGGCCGCGATGGCTTTTTCAATAAAGACAGCAGATAATCCTGAGGTTACACAGGGACAAAGTCAAACTACGATGAATTATGAAGCAGGCCAGTGAGCTCTGTGGAGAGCCTCCTTTTTGCCTCGAGTCATGTCTGGCATTTAAATGGCTCTAGGTATGGTAATAAAAACATCAATCTTCTAGATCCATTAATGCTCTAGATTCCTCAAAAAAAAAAAAAAAAAACGAAAAAAAAGCAACTGCAGTGCATAAAAAAAATACTGTGACCAGAACAGTTTGTCATGTTCAACAACCTTTAATTAATGTTTGTGTGAGCTCAGTTTAGTGCCTCCAGGAGTGAGTGCAGAAAATCAGATCTGTTGTTGATTCCACCACTGTGACACCGAGACACTAACAAAGAAACCATCCAACAGGATCAGAGCTATAAATAACTCTACGGCAGCACTGCAATATTAGTGGGTGGATTAGGAGTGAATCGTCACTGTCTATTTATAAATCCAATGCAGTCAAACCTCTTCATCGTCGGTGATTCACAGTGAGTACCGCATAAGTAGGATTAAAATGGAAATGGAAGTTTGGATGCATATTCTTTTCTCGTTTCTTTCACCAAATTTCTAAGAAAAACTTCTATATTTGCCTGCATTGGGCATAAATTTAACTGCACATAATTCAGGAGACTTAATTCATGTTTCTGCTTCAGAGAGTCAGCGACATGTATTTCCAGACTGCAGTGAAGCTCTACACACCATGCCAAGCAGGCTAACGTCAGAGGCAGGCAAGGGACTCAGCATCATGCATCCAAGGGAAAAGATCTTCAGAGATCATCCTGTCTTAGTATCCTGCTGCCACCTAGAGGTCTAAAGATTTAGTTTTACTCAAAAATGCCCTCCCTTCTCCCAGATCCCTTTAGGGATATGAAGTCAAGTCAACATGACATTATCAAAACACTTAAGTTTGTAAATCCACGTGTGTAATAACAAATTTTTCTTAAGCACCAGGTTGAAACCTAAAATACAAACATCTTTAGCAAGAGGGGGAAAGGAGGAGAGAAGAAAAATAGAATTTGGCAGCATATAAGCCCAGTATTCAAACACCTTTCCTCTCCAATAGACTACAGTTATATTTAGTATTTATATTGATCAAACACATGCAATTGATAATTTCTGACTCTGTTGCACTTGCTGATAAAAGAAATGTTCTAAGCTACAAAACATGCACAAATGAGACAAAGACATTTTACCCAGCAAGACTACATGTTTATTTAGAAATCACATCAGAGAAAACCTTGCTATAGCCATACAAGAAAACTTTTTCCAAACCTCCAATCAAAAAAAAATATACAATAAGATAAATGTATCAGTCAATAAAATAATAATCATATAGAGTAAATCAAATAAAAACAAAGGCCTATCAATAAAATGGTAAAAGTGAACAACAGAATAACAATATTTTGTCATGGCCATTGACTGTACACTGCACTGATTTAGGGATATGTCATTGTCCTGTAGAAGCCATTTATAGTGATTTTTTTGTTGTTGTTGAAATGGTAACTTGCACTTTCTTGCATGACCTTGTAAAGGCAAGCAAAAATATTAACAATGTCACTAGTGAAGGCTGGACCACTCCGGTACGCCTGCAGGCAGGCACACTCTGAAATGGCACAATATTACACCAGGGCCATGATGCCGTGCTATAACCCACTCCAAAAATAAACTCAAATGTCATGGAGATTGAGATTTGACATTTTGGTTGAAATCTTCACAGGACACTGACAATATAAAATGGAGGCTCTGGCATAGTCAGAGGACAAAAGCTCAACTTTAAAGACTCATACTCCATTAAAGCTTGTTTGGCTTTGTGTTGTAAGAAACAAGTCATCTTATGACCAAATATGCCCTAAGCCGAGGATTATAAAAAGAGGTTGGGTCACTATCCCGAAAGTAGGAGACGGCATCTGCAGTCGACTGTGTTTAAACAAATGGAATACAGTCAAACTCAATTTAAACATATTTTTTCAGTGTCAACATTGTAATGTATTAGCTGGTAAGAGAATGTCTGCTGTTGGTTAATTTTTTAAGAGGCTGTCTGTATGCTTGTCTCCCATTGTCTCCCAGAGTTGGCTACTTTCGAACGCTTGCATGACCCATCCTCTCATAATCCTGTCCTTAAGCCAGAAGGCAGCCAGAGAATGTCTCCATCACGTCTCAGACACATTCCTCCACCGTCATACTCGAGACACATGGCTGGAAGGTACATGCTCCTCATAAGTCACCAAAGTGACACGTTGCTCTTCACACGGCACATCACACAGGCACAGAATCCATGCTAACAAATGGAGAGTGGTAGAACTGAATTAAATTGTAGGATCAAGTGTATGATTTTCTACTGTACAGGAGATCACTTCCACACTGTGAACTGCAAGAATGGGAGACTTTGTGTACCTTTCAAGAAAGTCATGCCAATCAAAATAAATGCACATCATGTGTGCAAGATCGAAATAAAACTCATCGTCAAACACAACAACGAATATTTAAATATGACATCAATCTGTGCGGTGTTTACGGTATCATTTGAATGAGAAAAAGATTTTAAACACTATTACATTTATCACAATACCGCTAACAAAAGGTAACCGATATAGAATTAACTACTAACTATTGAGGTCTTAACTGCATTCAGTGCTCACCAGTGACAAATACACTGAGACAAAGTTGACAACACAGAAGCACAAGCCCCATTAAAGCAATGGTTCATTTAACACTGCTGTGTAGAGTGGGCTGTTTGCTTTGCCCATGTCTGGATGATGAACATACTCAGATCTACTCGAGTTACCTACATAAACAAAACAACCGGGTGATTGTTTTTTTTTTTTTTTAAATGACTGACGATGTCTATTATCATGCATTAATGTTTAAATACCATAAGGAAAAGTGTGGAGCATGCCTTGTGCGTAGATGGTGAAAATTCTGTGTGACCGTGCACAAATACTTAAACAAGTGAAGTTACAACTCCCTATCTGTGTCCCCAGCTGTTTTGGGGTGGTGCCCTGTGACACATAAATCAGGAAGTATTTTGGGGATGCCTATTCAGCAAGAATAGAGCCAGCAAACCAATCTTCTAATCAGCAGAGGTCTAAGGTCATAGGCCAGAGACAGGGAAAGGGGCGTGGGGAGTGAAGCCAGAACTTCACTGACCACTAAGTCTGCAGGTGGCGGTGTGCAGCGCTGAGGCAAGGGGATAAAGGAGAGGGAGAGGAGTTAATCCAAGGTTAGGGGCTCATGAGTTGTCTGAGGGGACGTGCTCCTCAAAGCCCTCACTCTCTCTGACGAGCGCCCTCTCCAGTATGACACGTCCCTCCTTGTACCGCTGACTGTCCTCAGTAGCAAACTCGTAGATCCAACCCAGCTTGCTGTTGCAGTTCTTGCAGCTGACATCCCTCACCATGTGTCTGCCGGTAAGCATCACTCTGTCCTGCACCTCGCTATACTGGAGGTTCACCACCTGTGGGGTTGAGACACAGGCATTCACACACATTCTTAAGCAGGGAGCTAGATCATGAATATGTGTACCCTCCTTGATTACATTTCATAGGCCGTTATCACAAATGTCTGTGTACCTTGTTGAAGAGGAAAGCTCTGCCTGTGGCTCCTGTGAAACGTGTCGAGATCAGCTCAGACCTGTTGGTCAGGATGGTGTCACAGTTGGCACAGGAGAAGAGGCGCGTTCCGCCAATGTGGTCCAAGAAGATGCGTCCCATCGCCAAGTCTCTGGGAGTGACTGAACTACAACTAAAATAGGAGAAAAAAAGAAGAGCAAACTATTTATTGTTAGAAAGTTCAATGAAAATAGGACTTAACTATACCCAGACTAAGGCAGTAACACCTTACAATACAATACTCTAGGGCTGGCCAAAGTGACAATGTATACTGCAGGACAACATGAGTTCGAGAACGCTAAGAGGTTTTGCTGTACTGTTCATAACATGGTAGCTACTCCTTTAACATAACTGGGTGTGTGAGGCCATTATGGGCAATGTTGTAAATCAATAAGCAGACCCGCTCTGTGGTGGTCACATTATGTCTGTGAACATTCTCAGTCATCTGGGCTATGGTATATATCTAGAAGTGCTAGGTCAAAGGCAACTGGGCTTGCTTCAAGTAACCACAATGAAATAAGGAACGAGTGTAGTTTTTTTGGTTTCTCTTTTGTGCCTCAACTCAAGCTCTCTTTTCTCGCACCTTCTCTTTTTTCCATCTCACGATTGTTTTCCAACAAGTTAGTGATGCTTTTATTTGTGCCTTTGCAGGGATAAATAGAGAAACAGAGTGCCAACATATGCATCATTTGTGTAAATCATGCACAGACGCAAATGCATCTTGTGATGTACCACCATGTATTTTTAACTAGACAGTCTATGGGCTTAACTGCATTTCCTGTGTGTGTACTGATGGGGTGTGAAGAATTCAATTTCATTCGGCAAGTGTGCTACAGATTCGACCAAATCAATGTGTAATGTTCGGCCCTAAATGACCCTACAGAGGGTAAATGCCTGAGAATCAATAACCAATCAGTCAGAAATGTAGATGCCTTCTGAAAGAGAGGTGAAATATTTCTAGATTTTGGAATTTGATGCGTATCTGCAACAATGTGAAGAAGTACTGATTTGTCAAGTATTTAATTACCTGGATTAGCCAAAACAGACATTCTGGTCTGGATATTTATTAGTATTTATTATTTAAATTAACATTTTTTAGAATTAGTTTCCATGAAAAGTAGCCTACTATATTGTGATAATTAGCTATATCAAAATATAAAATAACATGTACTTTGATACAGTCCAACAATATCCCTTAAATACCAAATTAGAGAAGTTAATAATATGTGGGTTGACACGGTTAAAAGGTGGAAATGTAATTTAACAGTCACCTTTGAGATTATTCGTTGTGGTGTTGTTGTGCAAGTATCATGTCTTTAGGTCATTGCTGGTGCTGGCTTTAAGGCACGGTTCCTCTTTTGCAATTGACTTATCCTGTGTGAAACATGTGTCCTCAATTTCCTTTTACCTAGAATTATGTTGGTGATAAATGCAGCAAAAATTCAGGCAAAGGTCGTCTTTATAATGCAGCAGCATTACACATGTATACCGAATGCCAAGCCGCAGGATTTTTCTTTAATAAACAAAAAGCAACATAAGGAAACTTTTGATTAAACAAGGAACATATAATCCGTATATATATATATATCTATCAGAAACTGTATCATCAGAATTTGAATACAATGTGACTTTGTTTTCTGTACACATAACAGAGGGATCCATTCATCTTCCTGAGGTTTCTTCCATTTCTTCCCTGCTAACATGTTTTGTGGTTTGGTTTACATTGAGGGTCTAAGGACAGGGGGTGTTGAATGTTGTACAGATTGTAAAGGCGTTAACTAAGATTTGTGATTTTGGGCTATAAAAGTAAAATTTGACTTGTCTTGAAGGAAAAGAAAAACAAACATGAGCTAAAACTGTATACTGAGTGTTCTTGTTACCTCCCCTTGCCGTAGTAAGTTAGCTCCCTTAGCATGTTAGTGATTTCAACCTTTAACAAGTACTGTTTTGTTCCTCACTGGCTTCATGATGTTGACTTCAGACGGCAGCTGAGCTCTAAATGGTGCTGGAAATAAAAGCCATTATGAAGAAGAATAAAACACAACCTCTCTTTAAAAAGCAAATAGTTTTGACTGGCTGATAAAAGGGGAACACGTTTGCTGCCTCCCACCGTGATTGTGGACATTTTGTCTGTGCGCTGTCGTACTCATTAACCGAGTCCAAAGAAGCTAACGTTGCGTTAGCCGTCCAGCTAACAGCGATAACGACATCACGCTAGGAACAAGCGGAGTAACAACAAACCGTATATTTCTGTTTAGCTCAAAACGACGGCGTCCTACCTTCTCAAATCTGTTTCAGTGGCAAGAAAGGTCCCCGGCAGGGATGATGTCACCGATATCGAAGGTGTATTTTAGACGCACATCTGTCGTTTGTGCCGTCGTCGTCGTAGCTTTGTTGTTCTTTTTCAGCTGTTCCTGTCTGCGCTGTGCTCACAGCTAGTATCAACATCCGGTCATGACGTATTGGCCCGGCGGTGCTCCACTAGGTGTCAGCAGAGCGGGTAAAATAAATAAAAACCTTCACAGTGAGCATCAGTACAAATATATATATATACCATAAGAGTATCTTTTTACCCTGCGCGCAGTGGTGGGAGATGTACTCACTTCTGTTACTTGAGTAAAAGTAGTAATATCACAGTGTAGAAATACTCTGTTACAAGTCAAAGTCAAAGTCAGCTTTATTGTCAATTCTTCACATGCACCAGACATACAAAAAAGTGCACAGGCACAACAGATAAGAACAGACATTTCCTAATACTAAAATTTAAATTTAAACATTCAATTACACAACAGACAATAAAATATAAAAATATACAATAATATAAAATATACAATACTTAGGGTAGTGCAAAAAGGCAGATGGAAATGGCAGCAGAAAAATTAAAAATTAAAAACTAAAATTTACAGCAGTAACAGTGAACAGTCAGTAAAAAAAACAGTAAATAAATAAATAGCAGCCAATTTTAATCTATGTGGTATTGGTGATAGTAATGGTAAAACTAATAATAGTAGTGCAGTAGACAGTTATGCATTTGAACTTTACTTTAATAAAAGTACAACAATTTTAGCAACAAAACATGCCAATAGTAAAAGTACTAATTTTGTTGCCCATTTCAGAATAACGTATATTATTGGATACACCACTTTCATATTGCAGCTGGTTAATGTGGGGGTAATTTTAATGTATTTATATATACATTTTACTTTATATTACTTTTTATATGAAAAATAATACTACTTGGTATCTTGTACATTCCCCCTAAGAATCAGGGAAGTCTTAATGATATAATAATAATATTTATGTATTTGTTGATTACATTTTGTATTATTAATCTGAATCTGGAAAGTAACTAGTTACTGAAGTTATTAAATTAATGTAGTAGAGCAAAAAGTATAATATTTGCCTCCGAATTAGTGGAGTAAAAAGTAAAAAGTAGCAGAAAATGGAAATACCGAAAAGATTGTCAAAATTGTACTGCCTGCAGGTAGCACCAGTCTGTGTTTTAAATAGTGTAGATGTTTTTATATTTAGGATTTTGCATTAATCACGTTCCTGTTTTGGCAGCAATATGAGATTAAATTGTCAGAAGTGCATTGGATGTTAAATTGTTTTGACAAAATATCTACCAAATGCTTTTCCTGTCACATTCAACTTTATAGGTAGCCTGTAATATTTAAGATTGTAGATTCAGCAGCACTTGACCGAATGCCAAGAAATGGAATCATTTGAGCACATTGAACCAATTACTGTCATCTATCATGAGAATAATGCCATCCAACTACAGCCTACTGTCACCCTCAAACAACATGGATACGTCTGAGTGGATGGTGGAAGAAAAATAAGTAGAGGGTCTCCTACACATACAGGTGGGTGCAGGCCGTAAGAGTCAGTTCAGCTGTAGAAAGATTAAAGCCCTGAACAGCATGAGCAAAAAAGCCACAAATGCAGGAATGGGGATTTTGTAGCATGTGTATTAAAAAGAGGAACAATGACGAAAATCCATTTAGCCGTTTTAGTGTCAGGGTCCTGGTGTTGTGTATGCTGCCTCTCACTGTCATGTCTTACTGTGATAAAACAGAGCCATCATTAATGCAATAAGTAACACCTGTGCTTCTGCCACAGTGACAAAGTCTGCTGTGAAAAAGGAGTGTACAGGATGGAGTGGATCCTCTGAGGAAACACGTGCAAAGGCTGTTGGAAAAAGACAAATGAAGATTGCTGCGAGAAATCCAGATACACACAGACATTTACCAACTGACCAACCAGCCAGGCATTTACTGTAGCGATGGACAAAAACAGAAAAACAATAGAGGTGGTAAATGTAGCACGCTGACTATATGTAAAGTATGAACATACATTTTTATATACAGTCTATGATGTAACAGTTCCTAGTTGGATACAGAATATGAGAAGCTGCATGTTTGAGCGCAGGGATATGTAGATGGATGACAAATCCATGACAAACCAACCAATCATGATGCATACTTTTATTTATAATATACCATAACACTGTAAACCACAAACATTTTCTGCTGCTACAGCATCAAGATAACTATAATTGCCCTGTCTTGACTCCAGAGATCATGGTATTTGCAAAGCCAATCTAAGGACAAACTCATTAAGTACTTAGCAGTCTAATCATATCTCATCTCATCTCCAAAACTGAACCTAAATTGCTGGTTGTTAACATGTTGTTAACAACCCTGATGAAATATATGAAACAGCATTTATCGTCACAGTTTACAAATGAATTACTTATGAATGTAAAAGTTAGAGCAACATATAAAAATGAAACTACACTCTAACACTTTAATCTAGTGTTCTGTATAGTTCTGTCAATACTATTAAGGATGCACGTTGACATGGGAAACCCTCTCTATAGGCTAGAGAGTAAATATTTAAACTTTGAGTAAGAGGCACAAGATTTATTGGGGTTTTTTAGCTTTTACACACAAATGAGTTTATTAACCAGAAATGTATTCATTTCCCTGGAAATTCACTATGGTTACTATCACTGTGTCTACAAACAGTGTCCTGTTCCTTGAAATGAGGAGCTCAGTCTTACCTCTTTAGGAGATATTTATGAGACCAAAATTGTCTAAAATGCGTTTTCCTAATCATACCAAAGACAAACTGAAAACAAAAACGCTAAATAAATAATAAACATTGGTGCTTGATCATATTTTTATTTAGGATATGAGTGTTACTGTCTGGCTGTCAACATATAAAAGTGGAGTGGTTTATAAAGGATTGTGTCTTTTTTCCTCCATTTAATGTAGAACATAAATATTTATTCATGTTTTATAAAGTGTCCTGACTAGAGTCATAAATGTAACTTAACATCTCACTGACCTTCAATTATGTGGCAGTTAGGTCTATTGCCATACATAAGGATATCCTTTAGATTTCACGAGGAAAACTGCAGGTGACACAGACACATTAACAGACGAATGTGTAGAGGAGGAGGTATGACTTGAAGTTTGGTTGATTGTTATCCAGATAAACTGATAAGAGGAAGATACGGCTGAGAATAAAAGAGTGCTAGTGAAATAAGTCGCAGGGATGATCACTTTCTAAAACTTTGTCCTTCCTGGGAACTCTTTTCCTTCACCACCCCCTTTATAGGTACAGTGTACTTTTACAGTCACTGAAAGCTTACAGTCATTCTTTTGCTGAGGCTGAGGGGAAAAAAGAAGGAGGGCATTACACAAACCCCTCAGTGTAGAAGGCGCTCAGTATCTTCCATCATGGCTAGATCTGCACTCCTGATTCTGGCAGCCCTTGTTGGATCCTGCACTCAGTTTACAGGTATAGTATGAGACATTTTTTTTCAGTTGTACACTGAATTATTTGTTGCAGTCACCAACCTTTAAGTGCAAGGTGATACGGTCATGTGATGAGATCAGAATAAATGAATTGAATGAACTGAATAGCCAGTTTTTATCCCGCTTTTTTAGAATATTAGTTGTGGTCATGTGCACACTGTAGGTTGATGCATTGTGCATGCATTTTTCATAGTGTGGATGAACGTAGGTCTTATCTACAAACTACTTTGTGTATAAGATAGTGTGAACCTTCTCTAGAACTATATGACCCAAGATATATGTTGCTTTGTTCTTTATTTATTGCTTATGTACGCATGTTAAAGAAAGTTTACAATATCTCTGTTAGCCATATATTTCCACTGTGCACAAAGGAGTTTAGGATGCAAATACAAAAAGTTGCAAAAGTTTATTGCACTGCAGTTTATTACACATATGACACAAGTAATAAGTAAAAGTAATGCAGTGAGTACTGGCCTGTCAAGTAAAGTAAATTCTAAGAAACATAAAAACAAAATCTCTATGGAAAATGTCCTGATTTAACAAAGCAAATCTGCCTTTTTCTAGATACTTTACTATGTGCAAATAAGCTGTTGTAATTTAGGTGAAAATGTCTTTTTTAAAAGCAACATTTTTAAACAACGATTTTCCCTCTTTGAGGTAATTTTGGACTCTTAAAAACGTTACTTTTTGTTCACTATGTCACATTTAGACGCTGTCAACGTTGACATACAAAAACATGAACAATCAGCGAAGGTACAGTATGTCAGTTATGATCATTAAAAAATATAATGTATTAATAATATACTCTAATATACTGTTCTGATCCTGTATCAATAACAGTCTGAGTTTTTTCTCTGCTACAGTCAGAAAGCTACATGCCAATACTCTGCTCACCGATACCTGCCCCCTTGTCTTCATCCTCTTCAGGTATACTGCACTCTGCAATCATCATCAATAATTATATTAATCTGTTTACCAGTTCAAGTGATTACTGTGTGGTTAAAATGTGTTGTGTTGTGTGACATGATATAGTATCATGACATTGCTGACTTCAACATTTTCACCTGTTTGCTCTCCCTCAGTTCATACTCTCAGACCTGATGATATCTCAGCTGTTTATGTCTTGGGAATCCCACCCTCAGACAGGTAGAAAATAAAATGCATATACTTCAGTAAATTCATACTTAAATTGTTGAAAGTGACAGTGAAGTGCAGTGGCTTCCTGAGCTGCTTTAAAGCTTTAAAAAACCTTTTTTTTAACCCTCACTCACTCTAACTGCGTGTCTGTCCTTATCATTAGGGATGAAGCATCCAGAGTGGTCAGTAGAGTAACTGGTAAGTCTATAAACTCTCACCCACACTACAATCTACAATCAAGTAGAAAGAAAAAAGTATATAATCCTCTAAAATATCGATTTTAGTGTTGGTTTTGAAGATAATACCTACTTTATTGTATCCTACATTTATGTTTTCTCACTTTATCAGTATGAGCGCTTTCAGTATGTTGAACTGAGATTTTTATTTTAGTTTTCCAATTATGTTCTTAGGCGTAACCCCTATGATGATTTTGTTGTAGTCACACAATAATCTTGCTCTGTCACTTATGGATTTAAGTTAAAAACAGCCACATTTCACACTATTCTGGGATTATCTAACCATGTAGTTGAACATATTTACAATTTGCAGAGAGGTCATAGTCAAGACCATTTCACAGGAAAAGCCGGATACAGAGCACATTTTGAAGAAAAGCTCTTAGAACAATAATCTTACAGTTTAGTCACGTTTATCTCTAAGGATAAGAGAGAGGACCATAAACACAGGTTGTTGACCTTCATTTCACTTAACTGGCAACATGAATGGATGCTTTCGCCAGCTTCCTTTTTCACAATAGCAGTTGCCACAAAATGTACAAAATCTACTGTCTGGCTGTACTGTAAGGAATTATACATACTGTAGATTACACAATTGTGTATTTGTGTGTTTAACAGAGTTCCTGTCCATGTTCAACCCCGAAGTGATCTCTCAACATGTGGCTCAGACCTCATTACAGCCAAGGTAACACACACATACAGTATATACACAACACATACATATACAGTCATACACATAAATACTGTATAAGGATATTGCTGCAGGTGTGTTTTATGTGGGTATTTGTGTTGCAGAAGCTTGCTGGAGCAAGCTGAGGAACTGTCTATCTCCCTTTTACATCAGGTACACATTAACCCTCTTTTAACAATGTTTTATGTGCTTTTAACACATCATTATTTTGATGAAGAGAGTTCTTTACTGAATATAATAAGAAATAAACAAGAACAAAATATTTACCATGATGCTTTGACTGAATATCAAATAATTTAAGGATTCACATGCACTATCCCTTCCCCGAGGACATCTCTGTCAATATTTGGGATGACAAGCAACTCTCATCAAAACTAAAAACCAAAGTTAACAATTATACACGTTAAGTCTACAACCTGTATTTCCTCCATCTAAGGTAGATGTGACAGAATGTGTAGATGAGTGAGTTTTTGGGGTGCTGGGAGGCAGATTTTTGGCTTTGGCTCTGAAATTAATTTTAATGTGAATGGGAGTTTGACTAAACAGCTGGGATAGGATGTAGGCTTCCTGACCCTTAAAAGTATGTACTACATTTTCCGGAGATTTTGCCCTGATTGCACAGTGAAGGAGTTTGCTCTTTCTTCTATCTTTGCAGGTGACAGACTGGAAGTTTGTGCTGCTGTTTGTCCCGGCAGACTCCATGTGTGCCTGTTCACCAGATGTATGATTCCTTACTACAAATAAATCACATTTGATATAGCATTATGTTAGCAAATGGTTAGTAAAGGATGTTAAGAGTGTGTAACCGTTTTTTTGTGCTTCAGGTTGCTGCAGATGTTAAAGCTGTTGTGCAGGAAGTGGAAGCAGCTCTGCAGCTGTTGCAGAAAAGGGTATTGTGCTTTTTGTTAATTACAATTTTGCCATGAACAGTTAGAATGGAAAAAAACTAATATGCTTGGTGTATGTTTACAGTTGCATCGTACTTTAGTTCATGTTGTGGTCTGGGGCACGCATCATCAGCAGGACAAGTGAGTGTTTTGAATTTTAGAGATTAAAAAGTTAGCAAATAACTGCATTTATTCTGACATGATAGAAATTTTGCTGTCAGTGATGTGCTTGAATTTTTATTTTGTAGCAGGTGTGAGTGTATGAGAGATGAAAGCATCAATCACCGTCTACATAAAGCAACCCTTCTGAAAACACTCCAGGTAAAATACACGTAAATAAATTATATTTGTGTGCTTGTTGCTCTAATGCTTAGTTAAATTAAATGTGGAGACTTACTTGACAAAAATCTATTTGTCTTGTTTTCAGGACTTTCTAAGTCATGTCTTGGAAAATGGAAAGTGGCACAACAAAAGGGAAGATTTCGCTGCCGTGCTGCAGTCTGCCCCAGTTATTCTTGAACAAATCTCAGGCTCTGTAAGAAAAGAAACGCTAATTCCAGCACAATAGTGTAACTAACACTTCCCGTAACAATGCATGAAAGAACCTTAAAATGGTTAATGTGTAACTAGCATATATTGTGTGTTTCTTTGTAGGAAGACACAAGGTCTGACCCAAACCAATTAGCTGTTCAGATATGGACAAACCTGGTAAGTTCTTATGAATGAAAGTCCCAAATAATAATTAAATGCCCTGCGTACTGTATGAATACAGGCTGTCTGAAAACCTTTAACACTATATCTATATGCTGTTCTGACCCTGAAATCGACCTTGTGTCTCAGTCGTAAAATGAACCAATATAGAGTCACGATAATCCCTCAGATCAAAAGTAAGATGGAACAATGATTACAGTCAACGTTTATTATTCTGACCAGAGATAAGATTAGAGAAGTACTAAAAGATGAACTCACAATTATCCTACACTATCACTTTCTCCATCTTTGTTCCTTCTAGATCTATATGCCGATAGAAGAATTATGTAACCAGTACTGTTTGACACTGTGTGGTCACCGACGGCACAGAATGGCCCCACTTGAACCTAAAATCTTAACCAATCATGACTTTTCCTCCTCCAGCTTCAGCCATTGACAGGTCAGGAAGAGGTCATGGACAGCAGCATCATCACTATTCCTTGCCCTACCCAGGTGAGGCATGCCGTCACATAATTCAGTACATTCAGAAATCACCCATAAATGTGGCAAAAAGAAAAACTCAGTTTTAACCAGATATCAAGATTTTAAATCCACTACTATCTCTAATCCCAGGAACGACCTTTCCTACGGACACAGAAAAATTCTCCCACTAAAAGAGATGGGCAAGCCTCTACACTTACAGATCCCGTAAGTCTTTCGACTCAATTTACAGCACATAATAAACAGTTCATACAGTTAAACTTATTTGAGAGTGTGTTTGCAGGTTATGGGTACTGAGTTACCTTGCACGGACCGCAGTCCATCTCCCACTACACCCACTTCAGGTAAAATATGTTTGTTTTAGCTCTATTCTGCTGATATATTTTGGGAAATGTAGTTCAATACAACCAAGCTTAACCACTTTATTCTGTGTGTAGTCCATGAACTCAAACCTGGAGATATCAAGGTGGTGGCAGCAGTAGGCGACTCTCTGACAGTGAGTGTAACCCTTGTACTTTTTTGCCATATACTTCCATAGTCTAAATTCATATCTAAAAACGTACTTATTCCAATAGGCATAAATATTAGATTAAGATTAAGACCAGATTTACATATATAATACAGGACAACAGATGTAAAGACACAGAGCTTTTGTGTTTCACTGTATGTGTGCTGAAATGCAAACATACCACCCCAGAAAATCGTGATCAAATCTTAACTTTAATACTAAGAAATGACAACTGTACAGTATAAGCTTCTGGTTGAATAAATATTTCCTCTGGTTCCACATGGTCTTACTATCTTACATCTGATGTTTTCTGCAGGCAGCCAATGGTGTGGGCGCACAGGCAAACAACCTTCTGTTAGTGATTAATGAGTACAGAGGACTCTCATGGAGGTAAGATAAGCTAAAGTACACATTATAGTGTGGGAAAATACTTCAACATTTTGGGTGATTATGTGTGCTGCATTTAAAACTAACAAGCTGCTTCTTTAATTTTTTAGCATTGGCGGTGATGAAAACATTACCACTGTGACCACTCTGCCAAGTATGATTTTTTTATTATAGCATTACCTAAAATTAAATGACGGAAAAATGCTTATAACATCTATGATTTTGGTGTCTTATCACCACCATTATAGCTTTCGCTGTCCAGTAGACCTGATGTCAGATAGTGAGCTGAAACAACAAAATACTTTAGAATAATTTCAGTAATCAATATTAAGGCAACACATCATCAGGAGATGTTAACTGTTTGATCAGATAACACAGAAATACAATAAGTAATAAAATAAACTAAGAAGATTTTAATTATTAGTTTTTATTCTACTGGTTTGACAAAAAGCAAAAACCTAAGTTTGTGCACAACTGAATGTTGTGGTCTGGACATAGGACATATCTTTTTCCATAGCTTTCAACCAAAAACAAAAAAAGTTATATGTTTTGCTGTTTGTTAGAAATAAAAAACAACATGACACAAATACATAATCTACACAATCCTCTGTATCAACTGAATCTCCATCTCCTGTGTGTGTGCTTTGCAGACATCCTGAGGGAATTTAACCCATCCCTGACCGGCTTCTCAGAGGGAATAGGTAACGAGGACAATCCTAAAGCCTTCCTGAATCAGGCTGTGGCAGGAGCAAAGAGTGGGTCAGTCATGTTGTTAACTTTTTTAATTTTAATACATACAGCCTTAGCAGAGCTTATGGCGCAATAGAACAAAGAATGTGCACTTCTTAAAATTTCACCATCAACTCTTGTTTCTATTTTCAGTGATATGGTGCAACAGGTGCGCGTCCTAGTGGACAAAATAAAAACTGATCCGGTACGGCAGTGGTGAACTACAATAGGAACACACACAGATATACTCTCATGTAACCTTTGTCTCAGTTTTATGTTTACAATTACCAAATTAACAGAACATTTACCTCTTATCTCTTTTACAGCGCATTGATTTCCACAATGACTGGAAAGTGATCACCATGTTTATTGGTGGCAATGACATATGTGACTTCTGCACAGACAGTGTAAGCACTCTTGACTTTTTTTATAGATTATGCAATAATTTCATATTTTACTTACTGTACTTACTTTATTATTTATGTTTTACTTATTCGTATATGATTATTTAACTGTCTAAAATGATATCGAAGGGCAAAAAATATAGATTTAGGATTTGTTGACATTTCAAACAATATTATCATATTAAAGCCATGATCATCCAAAACATCATAAGTAATTTGTTTTACAACTGCAAGCAATAATAATGATCTTTATTAATTAATCTACAAATTATTTTCTCAATCTAGCTAATTTATTGTTTTGTAAAATGTCATAAAATAGTGAAAAATGCCCAGAATTTCCTTGAGGCAAAAGTTACATTTATGCTTTCAAAAAAATGTTATTATAATAATAATTATTAGCTAAGTAGTCGTTAAATAGGCCTATTTCCTCTTAAACAGCTAATGAATTAACTGACTTATTGTTTGAGCTATAATTTGTTTCACATTTATCTACACACAGGTTCCATTTCATGCTTTGGGTCTTGTTTACTAGTGAGAATCTTTTAATTTTTTTCCGCAGATCTTTTTCTCACCTAGCAATGTGGTTGGTCGTATCCGCCAAGCTCTGGACATCCTCCATAGTGAAGTATGTTTTCATCTTCTTGCACAAACATACAACCTCACTGTGCAAATTCAAAGTCATAATCCAAATTACAGATTTAAACTGTTGTTGTTTTGTGTCCAGGTGCCTCGTGCCATTGTCAATCTGGTAGAGCTGTTAAACATTGTACCATTGCGTGATCTGCACAGTGATAAAACTCTTGGCTGTCCCACCTGGTTTGTCAGGTCAGTGATCTTTGATTGTGTAATACTTCGGGCAAAAAAACTGATAAAGTCATCATTTAACAGTTATTATATTTATGTTTTAGTCTAGTTTGCCCCTGCATACTGAAGCCTAAAGAGGGGTCCAATGAACTCCAGAGGGTCAATTACTTCAATAGAGCCTATCAGGTATGAGACAAAGGGATGCTCAAAGGAAGAGTTTTTTGTACATATTCTTATGTACAAAAAACAAATTCACTAATCTGAAACTATTAATTAAAGTTAATTTAACACCTAAAATGCTCTGTTTTAAGGGCTAAATCATCATCCTCATCATGACATTGTAGACTCAAAAGAACTGTCACTGAGAAGTCAAACACTTGTTTACACCACTTCCTCCCTGCTCTTTGCTGTCTGTCCATCTAGCATGCTATGAGAGAGCTGATTGACTCTGGGCGGTATGACACACACGACAACTTCACTGTGGTACTGCAGCCCTTCTTCAGGGAGATTTTCCTTCCCATGTTAGAGGTAAGAGCTGACACACCTAAAACATTAGATATTCCTTATAGTGGTTTTTCTTTTTCTTTTTATTCTTTCCCCTCCTATTCCTTTTTTTTTTTAAAGGATGGCCGTCCTGATCGCTCATACTTTTCACCCGACTGTTTTCATCTCAGCCAGAAAGCTCACACCCTCATGGCTCGTGCTCTTTGGAACAACATGGTAGGATTTGTTTTATTATACTACTTTTCGTACATTTATATTTTGGCACATGTGGTCTGTGTTTCTCTTATAATGAGCCAAAAACTTTCATAATGTCTTAGTTAGAGCCAGTGGGGAACAAGACGTTTACACAAGACTTCTCAGCTGGCATTGATCTCAAGTGTCCCACTGAGGTAACTATGAATCACACTTTATCAAGAACTATATATTATATGTTTTATATGTCATTTTTGTGTATTAATGTGTTCTTGGTTGTTTCTTTATTAGAGCAACCCATTTTTTAGGACTGCTGTCAACAGCAACTACACCTTTCCAGGCCCTCCCCCCACTCTTCCTCCTCCTACAGTAGGTCACAGTTTCTGTCTTTTATGCACAACTTTAGAATGACAAGTTGATATTTATGCATGATTTCAAGCAATACATTAGAGCTATAAATACCTAAAATACATTTCTGTCATTCTTTAGAATTGGGGAAGTGACTTTTCCTGTGTTAACACAGCTCCATCTAACTCTGTGCCCACATCAGGTAAGCATTTAAGTTGTTACTTAGGTAGAACGTAAAGGGAAATAAAAAGATTAGATGTAAAATGTGCTCATGTTGATCTTTTGTTAGCTCACAGGTTACGACCAGCAGACATCAAAGTAGTGGCTGCTCTGGGAGACTCTATAACGGTAGGTTTGGATTTTGTAAAGGTTAATGTAATAAACTGCTGGGTGCATAGTCTATTAGATTGTCATAGTGTAACCAAATATTCCTCTAAATAGTTCGATTCAATGATTTTACCTCATAGCCCACCTTCTACCTTCTACCACCTACTTTCCCCCCAGAGCTTTTGATTGTATCTCTTAGTCTGATAAACTTATTTTTCCTTGTTTTATTGTTCATGCTTCATAAGTTGCGTGACAAATGATGCAATAATAATATTGAAAGATGGAATTAATTACTTGAAAAGTCCAGTTTGTCATATTTTGTACCTTTGGGAAGTTTTGTGGGTTTGAATAATGCTAAGTTAAATAATTAAATTATGGAGCTACTGGTGGTTGACTGTGTTACTCTCTACCTTTTCTCTAGATACCTATAAATCATGGTAATGTGCAAGCTGAGAGAGCATTGTCAATTTAATGGGTCAGAGAGAGAAACGGGAAATGATTGAATAGTATAATCATATTTTTCTCCATATAGGCTGGCTTTGGTGCGAAGGCAAAGAACCTGCTGCAGCTAAGAACTGAGTACAGAGGGGTATCATGGAGGTGAGAAACTGCACACTATATACATAACACATTCATGTATATTGCATTGTGATGATTTTATTTATTATTTGTTTATTTTCATTAACAAGCATCGGAGGAGACAAAACTCTTGAGACTGTCACAACATTACCTAGTAAGTCCCTTCATCTTTCCTATAGCTTTCTTTACAAGTCATACACACTATCACCACTAGATGGCAGAGCTGGACCATAACAAAACTAGTATTTTGTCTCTTGTGTAGTAATTTCCCTACATTTTTACATCAGATATCCTCAAGAAGTTCAATCCTGAAATCAAAGGAGTGTCAAAGGGACAAGGGAAAAGGCAGACTGGCTTCAATGTGGCTGTATCAGGAGCTAAAATATCGTGAGTTTTAACATTTCTTTGATCTGTTATCAGGTTCATATGGTTCACTTTCATGTATTTTGTGCTGTGTTTAATAATTTTGTTGCACTCATGAATATCTTTTTTTTATACAGAGGAATCCCAGGACAAGTCAGACGCCTGATTGATGCCATGAAAAATGATTCTGTGAGTTTAATACATGATTCTACAGTATACTAATAGATGCACTGATGCACAAATTATACTATTTTAATGAGCAAAAATATCATCCTTGTTCCATCACTCTATTTTTTCCCCCCTTCTGATTTTTTCTCCATCCTTTTAACTGATATAGACGGTGGATTTTGAGAATGACTGGAAGCTGGTGACCCTCTTCATTGGAGGCAATGACCTGTGTCAGTACTGCAATGACCGTGTGAGTTGCTTTAAGAAGTTGTCAAAGGAAATGAAGGATGATCCATTCGGTGAAGGACATTTTCAAAGCCCTCCCCTCGGAAAATACAGTCCCCTGCCATAGCATAGTGGTTAAACATCCTGTAGTGTTGTGTGATGCCCTGTGTATAGAGCCGTGTCACGATATCACTCTCCAAATGGGACTGCGCACCGGGGCAGAATAATCAAGCTTTGTGAACAGCCCTCCCCTAATTGTTTTATTGTGTCAGAGTAAGATGAGAGCAGACATGGTTTCTTTTCAATGAGCACATTCTGTCACTTCACCCCTCCAACACAAAACAACCCCCCTCTCTCCTCTATCTCAGCCTCTGTCTGCATTAAACAAGCACACGAGGCACAGTGACAGGCCTTGTTCTCTAAGAGGCATAAACAACAGAGGTCAACCCAGACTCTCTTCATCCTGTCTCTGTCTCTCTCTCTCTCCTTCTCCTTCTTATTTTGCCTCCATTTCCCTCTTTCTGTCTCCATTACTCTCCTCGCGCTCCACTGACAGGGTGGTCTCTCTTTTAATGTTTGTGCTTTGAAGCAGAATATCAAAGCACAGCATCAATTTAAGATGAGCTCTGAGACTGTGGTAGTGACAGCTTAGGGTTAGTTGTTGCTCGTACGCTCATGCATGTTGCATGGCATCAGCTCTTTCAGTTGGTATGTGCTTTTCAGCTACAAACCTGGCAAGTTTCCCTGAAATGTGGTTTAATGATTCTGCTTTTCTCTGGCCAAAACAGAGAACAGCTGGTAATGAAAATGTGTTCACTATAAATTAATAATCGTACATCGTGTCTAATCCTGTTATTCTTTTGATCTCAAAACTACAGGCCACTTTGTCACCTCAGAACTACAGCCATCATATGATGACAAGCTTGGACATGCTTTACAAAGAGGTAAAATTATGTTATCTACTGAAAAGATAACATAATGGACTGAAAAATGGCTAAAACGTACAGTTTTCTTCTCTTCTGCCCTTCTTGCTTCCCATAAATCATCATTGGAAAGATATTAAATTCTGAATATTACTCTGCAGTGCATAAAGGTCATTCTGTCATGTTTTCTGGCCGTAGGTTCCCAGGACAATTGTCAACGTCTTGGACATTCTGGAAATTGAAGGCCTTCGCAGGATCAAAAGGGATAGTCTTGGGTGCAGTGTGTTACAAAAGTACGCTCATCGATCCGCTCATGCCAAATCAATCCAACATGAGTCAAGACCACTGAGTCTGAGGCAGATTGCTCCTGTATATCTAATAATGCAGCAAAGAAATATGTAATAGTTTGGAGTTGGAGTTTATTAGAGGATCCCTCATCCTGAGTCAGTGACAAATCCAATTTTGTATGCCAAAGATAGTGTTGTTTATCAGTCAGTGATGATCAGGAATTTCCCCAATTCAGCTGATTATTTCCCCCTTTGATCTTCAGGTATGTCTGCCCGTGCTTCTTGTTAGCAGGAGAGGATTCCCTAGAGCTGTCTGAAGTCAAACGGATCAATCGGGAACTTCAGGTTAGAACATGTGTGACTAACATGCAGCTAAAGTCCCTCTCCGCTCAAAAATGGGTTTAGCATATTATTTGACTTGGATGTTTGACCTTCACTGTGCAGAATGATGTATGTGCAGAGTTTGACACTTTTCACATTCATCTGATGAAGAAGGGGAAAGCTTCTGTGTGCTCACCTTAAATCTCAGTTTAAGACGTGTACATACAAGCAGGATTTTTTGTAACATCACGACTAGTGTGGAGCCAATCAGGGTCCAATATGCAACATACAATAGTTTGATGTTGAAACTTGAAACCTCCAGTGCACACAGATTGAGAATGGACATTTCAGTATCGTAGGAGACGCCATGTGTCTAGTTGTTCAAGTTTTGAAGTGAATATGTTGAATGTGAAGATGCATTTTCATAGATTCTGTATTTTTCAATGATAATTTGTGATCTTTCTTTCAGCTTGAGACAGAAAGATTGGTGTATGGAGGCCGCTATGATGACAGAGAGGACTTTGCTGTGGTTGTGCAGCCCTTTTTTAAGAACACTGTTGTTCCTTTGAATACAGTAAGCCCTCCGTGTAGCCCCCGAACCTCCACTGCACTCTACAAACAAATATTAGTTTTAAGACAGTAACAAGCCCTTCCTCTCAAAGTACATAATTCCAACAAACACTTATGTTGTTTTATCTCTTCTTCAGGACAGCAGACCTGACACCACCTACTTCTCTGAGGACTGTTTCCACTTCAGTGAACGGGGACATGCTGACATGGCGGCAGCTCTTTGGAATAACATGGTGAGCCTGGCAAGGAGAGAAGTAAAAGCCTAACTATGTTTGACAGGGGAAGGGTTTTGGATAAGTCTTTCTAAATGACCACATTTCACTGCAGTTTAGTCATGGGCTGAGCAAAAGATTTTCTCTGTTTTATCTCTAGTTGGAGCCAGTGGGTAAAAAGCAGACATACAACAATTTCACAAATGCCAGAAATAACATCAAGTGCCCAACTGAGGTAAGAAAGCTGCCACATAAGCACTTCTCACGCTCCACTGCTGACCAAGTTGGGATTTATCTGTACAATTTATGCATAATGTCATGAATGGTACATAAAAGTGGATGTGACTGAATAAAAAGACCTTCACTCTTGTGTGTTCCAGGAGCATCCTTACATCTTCACAAAGGTGAACAGCCTACCCAGTTCGACCACCACCACAGCACCCACAACACACAGCACAGCTCTGCCTCTCACCTCTAATTGTGCCGATAATGTTCCAGTATGGCTCGCTGCTGTGCTGGCCGTAACGGGGCTTCTGATTGGCTGGGGTGTCACCTGGCTCCTCCTCTCCTGCAGAGCCAAGAGAAGCAAGAGGCTGATGATGTCTACGGTGGAGATGAAGGGCACTGTGTTTTAAAGTCCTTCTTACTGTATTTTTGCAATGGACAATTCAAGAAAAATTTCATAACCAAGAACTACAAAGCAACTTTGTAATATTTAAAGTGATTGTAGAAACAATATTGTTTGTGGTGATAAAAAGGACATTTTTCGTATAAGATTTTATAAGATTATTGTCCTTGAATCACAGAAAATATTACTGGATGCAGAGGTGCAAAAGATACATCAGTCTACACCAGGAAAGCAATAAGTAAGAGTAAGACAATTATAATAAGTAAGACAACTGAATGACACTCCTTTATAAGTCCTGCATTCAAACCTTACTGAAGTGAACCTGTAGGCATATTTAAATGTTGTAGCTGGTCTATCAACTCATATAATGAGACAAACCAACCACTACAATTCAAACGTGGTAAAGTAAAGACTGAATTTACTGACTGCACATTAACTTATTACTGCTATAATATGTTCAATTAGAATAAAATTATCAAAGTTCAGTAGTTTGGTAGAGGAGTAAAATACACAACGCTTGCCTTAAACTCAATTTAAGTACTTGAATTAAAGGTACTCTGTCTGGATGTAACAACAGTACACTCTTGGTAGATGTAAATATGAATCTAAGTAATGTTGTGGCCATTTTGTGCAATGTTAAATGCTTGGAAAGACAATGTAATAAGGGATTATTTCTGTTTTCTTTTGTAACTGTTTAAAAATAATATTAATACCCTGTAACAATGTAGAATAAAGAATTTGCAACAATTCATATAAACCTCTAATCTAATGTTCTCTGGTGACAACGAAAAACACCAACCGGTGAATGTGAATGTAGCCTGCCTGTTGAGAAAATCATCACCATTACACGTTAATGGCACATCTTAGCTACACAGGAAATACAAATATCACCATATCATAAATTACGCAAACCAACCATGCAGAAATAATTTTGCTTGGAGCACAACACACATCAGGCCACATGTATTACCTTAATCATTATCACCACTGAGATAGCCTACTCATAAAACATAAAAGGGGTTATTTTATGACCTCTTTCCTGAGATAAAAGCCACCGACTGCTTCTGTTAATTATGTCACAAGCACACAGTGGTGGAAAGTACATTATTCAAGTACTGAGGTACAATTTTGAGGTATTTCTACTTCAGGTGAGTATTTTCATTATCTGCTATTGTATAATTCTACAGCACCACATTTCAGAGGGAAAAATAACTTTTTTCAGCTGACATTTATTTGACAGTTGTACAGTGAATGTATAAAAGAGCTTTAAAAAAATATTAAAATGCTTCTTTACAAGTTTATATATTAGTTATAATAATCCAATAACAGCCTATATGAGTCTTACACTTCCTGCTGCTTTTACATAACTCATATTTTAAATGCATGACTTTAATTTGTAAGGATATGATCGGAAAGCTTCTCCCAGTGTATGTATGCTGGATGGAATGAAAAAAGATATATAATATGTTTGTCAGCCTAAAACCACAAATAAACTCCTATCCCCTCATTTCTAAACTCCATTAATTAATACAAAGGTGGTTAACTCCTGGTTCATATCACCTAACAGCTACTGTTGTCTCGACAACAGCGCCTCCTGGTGTCTGAAGCGGGAATCGAACCGGCCAACACTGTACCACATCAGTTTGAAGATGGCGGAGGGTGAATTGAACGTGGACAGCCTCATCTCTCGGCTTCTGGAAGGTGAACCATTTCAATACAGTCTGTAATGTTACACAGAGTTAGCTGTTTGTCTCCAGTAAGCCTGGCGTGGGGATTTATTCTGTATCTACCGCGGTTTGCTCCACGCAACGCCGGAAATGTGTTAGCTAGCGCGGCTAACCTCAGCCACTCGTAGCGGTGTATCTCCCCGGTTAGCTCCGGCTAGCGTTACTGTTAGCTGGCCGTGTTTATAAACACTGTCAGCGGTGAACGCCTACATTTCTCAGTGTTCGCAGTAATAGCTAGCTATACGTGCTCTTTTTTGGCAAGTAATTTTATTGTGTCGTGGTCCTTAATTTAGCATGTAATTAAACTTTCTGCCTAATGTTTTTTTGTTTTTTTTGTGGCTGTATTGTGGCTCATTTATACAGCAGCAGCAGCAGCAGGAGGGGCAGGGATGTTTGTCCCTGTGCGTTATGATGTTATAACATTAAAATACAACCCAGGACCATGTGTCAGGGCTCTAACGTTTATACTTTATACGCAGATGAAGTTAATATTTGTTAAGCTGAGATATGCATACAGATGTTCGCCGTTGCCCTTGACACTGTTAAGTTTTGCCCCACATCTGCTGTAAGTTTTCGGTATGATACAGCTCCTGTTTCTACTGGTGATCTGGTTAATGATACATTAATGAGAAGGGGAATCTCTTGCCGAATGGATAAGGATTAAATATAGGAGAGAAAAAAGGCTTAAAACAATATGTATGACATTTTTTATCTGATGCTGGATGGTGTTGGTTTTTCTAAAGTAGTTTTACCTTTTGCAGCTCACTCCTCTCAGGGTTTGTAGGTGTGTTTCAGTGGGCAGGTTGCTGTGATTCAGTGCACTCATGCCCACAATTTACACACATTCCCTTTAAAAATCCCTGTAGTGTTTGTTCAGGTGACTAACCAAACCCAAACTGAAGACACTGCAAGAGTAGGCTATAAGGAAGCAATGTCGCTGTGTTTCATATCTACAGTTTAAAGTCATCTTGCAGTGTTCACAATCACTTTATTGCTTTCCTTCTTGGTCAATAAAGGGTAACGTTGTTGGTGTGTGAGGACTTGCTTTTGTGTTTGGCAGAGAGAGGGATGTGCAAAAACTCTTTTTTTTTTTTTTTTCGTTGGCTGTCCACCTGCTCAAGAGAAGGCGAGAGATTTCTTTTCCCCTGTGAGATATCCTTTGAGTCAGACCAGACCACTAAGGCAAATTCAGCTGTCCTTGGCATACTTTCCACCAGTATCTGTGACTGTTGGAGGGATGAGACACTATGCCAGCACTGAAATGTGAAGATTTGTTATTTATAGTTAATGCTGGAAAATCTTGCTGAAACCGCCTTGGGTTTCTCGCAGTTTACTTTTTATGTTAACTTTGCTACCAGATGGCGACATTCGTTGGAAATAAACTAAAAGAATGAATATAAAATCTTTCACCAATATTGATCCCTCACATATTAGCAATCTGCTCGGACTGCAGGTACCTGTTGATTGTGTTTTGATATACAGTTGGACTTGGCATTGGCCTCTTTCATAGAGGTCAGTTTTGCTGTGATGTTGTTGGTGCAAGATGGCGATTGTATTTTTTCTCTGTTTTCATGCTAATAAAACGAGCACACATTGACTCCTTTATTTGGACGTAATCATTTAATGGGTTTGTTCCATAATTGTTTAGCTTGGTAGTGAGTGGTGTGATTTCAAGGTTTAGAATCAAGCACATACACATAATTTGTGTAAAAGTGGCATCTTTTTTTTTTTGATTGTCTGTAGGTTAGACATTTTGAGAAATGGCACTGCCTGTGGCACCCTTTGCTTCTTGGAGCCTGTGACAGCGGCTGTGATTTCTGTTGATTACATTAGTCTGGAGTGGAGAGTCCAAGCACAAGACGTGGACTGAAGACCAGGCCCAAGAAAAACTAGCCAAGAAAATGAACCCTGCAACTTAACAGAAACCAAAGTCAGGTTGTCACATTGGTTTGTACCTTTCATTAATGTAGTTGTTTGTGTTCCCAGCATCCAGCTCTAGTCTGTTTGGATAAATGCAGAACACGACTGCCTCCAGCATCTGGTTTTTTTATGAATCTTTATATAGTTGTTGTAGATGTAACAAAACCAGTTGGGTCTTAAACAGGTGGATAGATTTTAGCTGATATTTGATCATATCTAGAGACTCTCTGCTGTCAAGTTTGTAAACTATATAACTGTAAAAGGCCTTGAGCCTTCATATTGTATCCCAACATTACATAATAGCTTACCGTATGTTTTTCTGTCTCGAGGAAAAGGAAAATGTCAGTGAGAGTGCTTATTCATTGGAATTAAACCGTATGGAACACTGTGTCACTTCCTCCAGACACGTCTACGGTCACACATTCACGCACACACACACACACACACGCAAAAACAGTGATTTGGCCTCTGATGGTCGCAAATCCTTGTCATTGCTTCATTTTAGCCTTTGCCCCTCAATGTTCTTAAGAACATAATCTCTTTCAAAAGTGCCAGCCTGCAGAAGTATGAACAGTGAAAGGTTCAGTGTTAAAGCCGAGCGGGCTTAACTTGCTCGGCTCTGATGAGGCCCGCTTCTGCAATTTCATGCTTCACACCATGGGCATGAAGCAGTGCAGTTACAGTAGATGGATGATAAAGAAAAATTGATGGTGTAAAGCAACACTTCATTAAGGTTGGTGCGGCCCTAGAATAGTTTCTGGCACTCAGATTTACCATCTGTGAGTATCCGCATTCCTCTGGTCCACTCACTTCTCTCAGATTTGGTTGGATTACACGACTAATGAGAGAAGTACAGTGTGTAAGGAGCATGTATATATGTACACGTGTGTGTTTATGTATGCATGATAAAAGCATCCACTAAGCTTTAGGAATTGCTCACCAATACGACAGTTAATCCATTTTCATCTGCTCCCTCTTTGGCCATTCTGTAATTTGTCATCCTTTAAGGAAACAAAAAAACAAATAGGGAAAAGTGTTTAAGTAAAATTCCTCTCTGACTAAGATTCATTCGTTTCACTACACTCCGCTATCCTTTATTGGAATCTTTAGTGGGCGTCTAGCTTTAAGGCAGCACCAAAATGGTTAGTTATTACATAATTCCTCCTCAGTCACGGATTTGTTCATCGCTTTTGTTTCCGTCGTCAATGGTTCTTCTTCACGCGGCGCTTTGATTCGCTTTTTGTGACGTCAAACTGAGACGTAAATCAAAATTGCTACAAGGGCCGTCCAATTACAATTTACTATAGGTGTATTAATATAGTGATGAAGCACAGTGGGTCACTGTTATAGCAGGATTGTATATCTTCAGCCTAGTATTTATTTATTTAGATTTCTACCTTTGGTTACCTTTAGCACTTGTCACTTATTGCATAGCTGTAGTCACAGATTGTGTGCTCTTTTGTAAAGGATGCTAACACAATCGCAAGCCACAAGGTACTGTAGCAGGGGAGCAGTTTTTCACTATAATCTCACTTTTCATATCTCTGACTATTTCAACTGCTGACTGACGCCAACGTTTGCATTTCTCGCTCTTCTTTTCATCGCTGTGAGATAAGTCTGCACCCAGAGCTGTGGCAGAACGCCAGAAAGTAGGCTTAAGCTAACAGTGCAACTACACAGCCAATAAACCCACACCAGTGCTGAAGATGCAAGCTGCTCTCATAGTCTAAGCAGTGGGTTTTTGTTAAGTATGGCTGAGACTAAGCAACTATAAGCTACAGAGCCATTACACCCGCAGCTCATCAGATTTTAAGATTGCCTTGTGATTCTGCCGTATGTGTTTTTTTTCCCCTTAGGTGAAAAAAATATTGTCTCATGCTGATGAACTTTATGGTGCTTGTGGGGGGTTGCTGTGTTCCTGCTGACAATGATGATAACAGTTGTTGATAAAACTGACTGTGTCCTTTCTCTCCTGTCCAGTGCGGGGATGTCGCCCGGGGAAGATAGTCCAGATGACAGAGGCAGAGGTGCGGGGCCTCTGCATCAAATCCAGGGAGATCTTCCTCAGCCAGCCCATCCTGCTGGAGCTTGAGGCCCCCCTAAAGATCTGTGGTCAGTGTTCTGCTCTTGATGATTTAGGCCATTTCCTCACCGCCTCATGTTTGTTTTTTTGCTTTTTAAGTTCTACAACATAAACTCAGTACTGTGGCGTTTCCTTTAAAGCACATCTGAACTGAGAGGTGTACTTATGTAACCAGAGTGGATAACAGTGTGCCATCCTGGGTCATATATCGAGCCACTGTTACTCTGTCCACCTGACTGTATGGATGTTATAGGGGAATTGCACACACATACCCAGGTTGTGTATCACTTTCTTGCACACATAAAATGGACAGACGGAATTGGAGCAAAAGAGCGCACGCTCGCAAGTGAACTCCCTCCAAAACAGTTGAAATGCTACCACTATCACTATCTCTAGCTGGCTCCTGCACATCTCTGCACACTCCCACATGCTTTATCTCTTCCCTCTAGTATAGCACTGCAGTTGCAAACAACCCTGAGCTGTCTACACAAGCTCACGTATAGGCTCAGGCCTAAACAAAGTTTAGCCCTCATACCATTTCCCTCCCACACACATCTACTTTGAGCTTGTTGGTATGTAGGCCCAATACTGTATCAACCTCAGATGGCAGCATTTGTAGTTTAAGGAATAAACAAAATAATGGGAAGCAGTAATTTGATTGAGTTAAATTGATACTGGTTCTCATCAAACTGGATGTTGGAAAATGATCCACATGTCTGACTGACCTTTTAAAGGCCTCATATGCCCATCCATGTCCATATGTGCGGTTTCTTTGTCCCTCCTTTACTCTCTTTGTTTTGTTGTTGAACTTCTGTCCTCAGACTGATTACATCTGTGACGGCTTTCAGAGCACCAACAATTGATGATAAAGACCAAACAGTGAATGCCTTTAATTATTTACTAAGGCCACAAGGATCAGGTTCTACGCTTTCTCTCTCCCTCACATGTTAACCTTAACGCCACCACCATTATTTTGCCCAAGCCGGCAGCTTTGACACTGTCTGGCTTTATCATTTATTTTAAACAGAATAATATAAAATAGGATTCTTTTAATTGCAGTGTTGCAATAATCAAAGCCTCATTGTGAGGATGTGTTAGATAGTAATTCTGTTACTAAAATAATCTAGACGGATGATAATGATTAACAGCACCCCGCAATCACGATGCTCTGCAAAATGACCACGGGGTTGCACGTTAACCATAATAGATCCTTACTGATTCAGAAGAATGTCACTGATTTGTTTAGCCTGTTGAATTAGCCGAAGAAAGACCACAAGCATGCACACTATGTTTATACTGTGCGTGTTTGCATTCTGTGGTAGCATTTATCATACATTTTCAAACTGTGGTCACAGTGTCAGAGTTGAATAGAATGCCTTTAATTATTTTCTGGCTACAAGCACCGACTGAAAAGTGGCACAAACTGACTGAAAATGAGTAAATGAAAACATTTTGGAAGTATCTTATTTTAAAGTAAGATAAATAAATGTAACTGCTTTAGACTTAGATTTTGGCAGAATATCGTTGGCAGGCTGTATTAAGTTTCTCACCAGTAATTTGCGTTTAAATCGTTTACATTCCACATTGTTATATCAGGCCTCTGTGTAGGGTGGACATTTATTTTTTGTTTGTCTTGTGAGTTTGCGTATCGTGAGGTCTTATATGTAACTGTAAGGTGATATTCTCCCATCTTGCTGTTTTTAAAGTTTCACTTCAAATGAAATCCTGCGTATTTTGCATGAACATCTGCTTATTTTCTTCTTTTGTGGGTTTAAATGATTTTGTGTATGTCGTGCCATCTAGAACAGCAAAGAAAGACTATATAGCAGTCATGGACACTCAGCCTGTTTGTTCTGAGTGTTTATTTGTTGTTTCATTTTGAAATGTGCTCGGAGCAGTATTATTGTGTTTTTATGTGGGTGCATTTGAAACGGTTGACTATCTGGCAACACAAGGTCACACAACAGCAGACTTGATTACAGCTTTATTACTTAAGTACCAGAGCTCTAAGGCTAGGCTAATGGTATAATGGCCAATACACTGTGCACGCATAGACATTGTTCTGTTTTATTGTTTTTTATTATTATTACTGATCTGTTTATTGTTCTGTCCTTCGAGGCATGTAAACATGACATTTAACACTGATGTATCACACATGGGTAGCAACTGGTATGTAATTATATTATTGTAAAGTTGTGTTATCACCATTGTCTTGTTTTCTGAAACAAATCTTGCTTATTTATAAAACTGACCTCGGGTTCAGCCCTCCTTTTTTTTTTTTTTTTTTTTCTTTCAACTTTTAGCCTTTTGCTCTGCTTTTTAAATCCTAAATCTCTGTGCTGCTGTTCTCGACTGTTTTGACACTGCAGAGGCAGCACTGAGTAAATGATTCACTGTCATCCTACAGTTCTTTGCGATAGAGCAGGCGGGGGGCTGCCCCATAGAAAGCCAGTCTTGGTGAAGCTCACAAGTTCACTTTCAGTCATGCAGCAACTTAACCAGGAGTTGATGATGGTTAGTGTAAAACCAACTGGATTATTTCAAACATCAGTTTTTACTGCTGAAATCATGAAGACGAATCAAGTCAATGTCACAGGTGTGTAAAACTGTGAAAACAGCGACAAGAAATAGTTTGGTAAAGGAGTATTATTTAATAATCCAGTTAATCCGGGTTATACTACAGAGCTACAGCTCAGCTGAAGTTAGCCCTGCTTTTACAAAGTTTACTCAACCCCAACTGTCTCTGCAGAGATTACAGTCTATGTTGCCATGTCTCTTTGTCTCTAAATCTGGCTTTGTTCCTACATTTCATTTCCTTTTCTGTGCAAACTGCAGCATAAATGAGCAAAGCAAATTGTTTATGCTTCATGTCCATTTCTGTTTTAGTGAAGCTACAAGCAAGAGTTATTGTTCTCTGTGTGTTGTCCTCTGTATTTACTCTGTCCTCTGTTTTTAGTCTGTAAGTTGTCCAACGTGTTGCTTTTAGACTGCCAAGACTAAAAAAAAACGGTTTCCGTCAAAATCAGTATTTTCATGTTTTTATGTCTTGTGTGTAGGTTTTAGCAGTCCTCGAGTCTGTTTCCAGCTTTAGTGAAATTAGCAGAATGTAGACTTACACTATTATGTATGCCCATAGACAAAATAATAAATATATGAACAATGGCTACAATGGCAGACAAACATTGAAATAATAAGGGGAACAAAAAGGTTAATACAATGTGAGATCTTGAAAAAACAGAATGCTTTGTTTTGGTTTGTTGTAAAATACATGACACATGGATCCCTACTTTACACCTACTATCCTCTTTCAAGTTAAAACTCAAAATGGGGTTTTGAAAACAACTAAAGTAATAGTTTCAAATATTAAAAGCTTTCCTAATTTTATACTAACAGCTTGTGACCTGGACTACGTTGCTAGAGCACTGCATTAATTCTTTAAGACTTGTTTCATTGAAGTTTTACCAATTGTATTATTAATAAACAGGATTGTGAAGTTGTTACCATTACTAGTACTTGTATCAAAACTCTGGATGGAAAGCTGGGGCTGCGTGTCCAGGGCAAAGAAAATGATTGATGGTGAAACACACAACTGGCACAGCACAACATGAGCACAGAGTATAAGACGTAGCTAGATCTCAGAACATTCAGAACTGTTCCTTTAATCATTCATTTGCACGGAAATAAGTGTGTTTTTGCGTGCCATCTAAAAACACAGGCAAAAATAAGTTTAGGTTTGCAGCCATATAGGTTTGGTGCCAGTCGTGGTTTGGGTTTGGTGCCTAGATCACTGACAAGCATGGGTAAATAGGAAAAAAAACATGCCAGCCACTCTCATGATATAAAGTTGCAGTTTTTGTTGGTCATTTTTATCTCAAGGCCAGACATCTGCAAGGTTTAACAAGGCCTATTATTTCATTTTAATTTGTATTTGGTGCCATCTTGTAATGAAGCACTGCTCTAAAAAGAGTGTGGCGCATGAATTTACTTTCCGTTTTGGTCACAATGAAGCCTGTTATTATTGTCCTAGCCTTTCCTCCTGGTGAGGCTCTCTGCAGTCATCTGTGTCTGGAGCACTTAGCCCAAATTAGAGCAGCTCTTAAGTTGGTGCAAGAGGATATAAAAGGAAGCAGGTCTTGGCTAGGTGATGGAGTGAGGCTCCCCTGCTGAGATCCTGCGCTTTGGTAAGAGCCAGTCTCCAGCACATCACTGTCTGACTGATGTGACAGGGAGACGAGGTCGACCCTAAATCCTGGGAGAGCAGTTAAAATTAAAGTTAGTTTATGTGGATACGTGTATGCGTGTCCTTTATTTTTGTGATTAACCTGGATTGTCAGCATTCTCTCCCTCTGTAGCTCATTTCCCATGGGCCACGGCATTGATCTGGTGGAAGTTGTGGCTCATTAAGTAATGGCTCATTCTGCGTGTGCATCCTTGGGCTTGCTGCTGTAGTCCCAGTAAAGCATGGGCACTGTCGTATATATCCCCACCAACCTACATGTCTGGCTGTATCCTGAAAATTCAATATGGATTTAGAGAGATAGAAATTGGTGTGTGTGTGTGTGTGTGCGCGCGGGGGCGAATGTGTGGTTTGGAGATAGTTCTATCTATCTAAAAACTATTTCCCTTTGTGTCCTGCACTTACTGTGATGGTATTCAAGCATCCTTTCGTGATCTCTATTTCTGCATCACGACTTAATTATCTCTTCCCTTTTGCTTAAATTCTTCTTATTGTTTTCATCTCTAATAAGTCCCTTCTTTCTGTAATACTTTTATGTTAAGCAGGTAAGCAAAACTAACACCTTATCTTCACCTGCTGTTTTTTTAGGTGATATCCATGGGCAGTACACAGATTTACTGAGGCTGTTTGAGTATGGCGGCTTCCCTCCAGAGGCAAACTACCTTTTCCTGGGCGACTACGTGGACAGAGGAAAACAATCCCTGGAAACCATCTGCCTTCTGTTGGCCTACAAGATCAAATACCCAGAGAACTTTTTCCTGCTCAGGGGCAACCATGAATGCGCTTCCATCAACCGCATTTATGGGTTCTATGATGAGTGTGAGTAAGAAAAAGAATCACCCAGCACACATGTACGCACAAAGAGCCCTGAAGCACATACATAGTTTGGTTGTAATAATGCGTGTTTTTGTTCCACCAGGCAAGCGCAGGTTCAACATAAAGTTGTGGAAGACCTTCACTGACTGCTTTAACTGCCTCCCCATTGCGGCTATCATTGATGAGAAGATCTTCTGCTGCCATGGAGGTAAGAGAGCTGCTGGCACGTATTTCCTCCCCATGTCCCAAATGTAAAGGGGATATCTTTGGTTGAAATATATTCGAAAAGTAACCTCTTTATTTTCTATTTCAGGGCTATCGCCTGATTTGCAGTCCATGGAGCAGATTCGCCGGATCATGAGGCCAACAGATGTGCCTGATACAGGTACTGTTTGTTAATACTGAACACGTTCACTTCCTCTAGATTTCTCCTTGGAATTTAAAGCTTCCTTTAAAAGACAACACCCGGCCTCTTTCTCTTCCTGAATGAATGACTGTTGCATCAGTAGATATTCTGCGTTACATCAGCAAAGTCAGCTGGATCTTTAGCACATTCTTTTCGCCGAATTTCCTGTCCACACTCTCCTTTTTTTGTTCTTTATCTCCATCTCTCCACTCCATGTGTGTCTATTAGGCCTGCTGTGTGACCTGCTGTGGTCAGACCCAGATAAGGACGTACAAGGATGGGGAGAGAACGACCGCGGCGTCTCCTTCACATTCGGTGCAGATGTGGTCAGCAAGTTCCTAAACCGCCATGACCTGGACCTCATCTGCAGAGCCCACCAGGTAATTATGTGTGGACTGTAAATGCGGTAAGCACATAGCAAGCAAATTGATTTTGTGTTTTTTTTTTTTTTCTTAAAGGCCTAAAATTGGTTGGCC